GCACTTAGAAGTTGCAAGAAGAAATAAAGTCTTCTCATCCCTAGGTTGCTTTTTGTCACTGAGTTTTTTATCACAACATCCGCAACACCTAGACTTGATCATGGTCTCTACTCAGAAATAAGTGTACTGGAGCTCTCCAAGATAGTCTAGTAGCCTGCTGGCAGAGATAGGGCGCTGCTGCTCATGTTTATTTCCAACCCTCTCTCATCCCAACATCCCCATACATCACTAGCACCAAACATTTGAGTTGTGTTTGCCATTAAAAAATAAAAATCAACTCTATAGCCTCGCTCTGTTCTCACGAGCTCTCTTTATAAAAAAGCTGTTTGGGTCCAGATGGCTCCCTCTCCCCTTGTTCAAGAGGGAGAGCAGGCAGATCAGAGCCCTCAGTTTGCAGAGGCTATCCAGGCCTGTGGGTTCTGAACGGTCCCGTTGACGGTCAGATGAAGGCTTTCCTTCGCCTCTTCCCACCGCAGTGAAGCGCAAAGCAGAGTCCTACAGATCGAAGGGACCAGCAGTGGGGAGGTGGAGAAAATATGAGGTGCAGTGTATTTTTGCTCAGTGAGCTCGCTGGTGAGGGCTGTCAGCCTGACCGGTTCATCGCCCCGGGGTTGTGAGGATGCCGGCCTAAGACGACATGCTCATGAGCAGCCTGGTAGAGGCTACGTCATGGAGCCTTGGAGCGCCAGGGTTCAGTGCTTGACCTGTGAGCAAGGGCTGTCGGGTGGCCCAGGAGGATCGTCTATTGAGTTGTGCATGTGTGTCCCTCTCTGGCTTGTGCGTTGGCTCCCGAGTGTGCTGTGTGTGTGTGTGTGTGTGTGTGTGTGTGTGTGTGTGTGTGTGAGAGAGAGAGAGAGGAGAGAGAGGGGAGAGAGAGAGAGAGAGAGAGAGAGAGAGAGAGAGAGAGAGAGCTCACACGGGAGGGAGGACTAGACTGTAGGGCCAAAGTCACAGCAAAAGGCCAAAGGTATGTATGTGTAGGTTCTGGCCCAGAGGAAGACTTAAGAGTCGGAGCCGTTGGGTTTCGCCATCTGCCTGATATATCCTGGGCCCTGGGCCGTTGGACCCTGCAGGGGAACGCGAGGAAGAGGAGAATCCCAGGTGCAGACTGAGGCTTTGGGAGTGAACTCCTTCTGTCCAATGCTTGTAGGCCGCGCGTCAATCCTCCCCCTGCTCAGCTGCTCCCTCCTTCTCCACCGCCACTGCGGTTTTCAATCGTATGTGAAGCCAGGGCAGGAAGGGAGCGGGTTCGAGGGCGGGTTCTGGGTACTTTCGAAGAGGCCAGGGATTAAGGGTGGTGGATTTAATCAGGCCACGCCCAGACTGTTTCCTTGGGCACCTCCTGCATGTTAGCGAATGTTTGGGGCGGGTAGGCGAGCGGGTTGCTGTGCCTGCACCAAGCGTCTGGCAGGTTACACAGGGAAAGGCCACTGGCAGAGAAGACGCCTCCACGAACACAGCCCAGCAAGATGGGCGGGGTGGGTGTTTCCCGCAAGAGTTGGAGAAATGGAATGGGCACCAGGTGGTGTGCCCCAGGGCTGGGCGAACATGTCTGGATGTCGGGTGGTGTTGGAAGTTCGTGGGCATCAAAAGCGTCTGCTTTCAGAACTCACTGGCTCCAGGTCTCAGAGACGGCACTGTTACTCCATTTCCACAGTGACCTCTCCCCAACAGGAAGCAACGCGACCACCTAATGCTCCCCAACAGAATTTTGTGTGTGTTCACGAGATGGTTTTTCTCCAGGCACTCTCTGACAGGGGAAGTTAATTATATATTATATAATATATAATTTATTCGGATAAATTATATATTATATCCGAATAAAGCACTGTATCAAATGTGGCAATAAAATTGTAAAAGGAAAAAAAAAGTTAAGCATGAAGTGTTCTTTTGATCGAAAATGCAGAAGCAATAAGGAGAAAAACTAGAAATATTAACTTACAGTGCATAAGAGCTATCAATCTCTCAATCCTGTCCGTGTGAGGGGTGAGGCTGACAACATTTAGAGACAATGAAGTAAGGCTTGAGTGAAAAAGGACCTGGGGTGTGCCTCAATGGCACACCTTGCCTAGCATTCCAAAGAAAAAGGAGCAGGGATTGGGGGGGGGGCGGGGAGAGTCGGTTCGAGTGCATATAAAGTTTGATATTTATGTCTAGACAGGAAGAGAAAAAATAACTGAAAGCAGCAAATTGCCAACCTGACAGAGAAAATGAATGTATCCAAGAAAAGAGAACAGCTTGTCAGAAGTGGGATTCGAACCCACGCCTCCAGGGGAGACTGCGACCTTAACGCAGCGCCTTAGACCGCTCGGCCATCCTGACATGGTAAATGACTCTCTCAATTCCCTCACCTCTCTGATATGTGGATTCCATCCGTGTGCCCACTTGAGTAGATGTGATGGGGTCCCAGGGCTCCTGGCAGATTAGGTACTCAGTCGTCTAAAAACTGTCTGTCCTTCATGTTTTGAATATCTGCTCAACTATCTCATTTCACCTTATTTAAGGTTTATGTTTGTTGCCATGAGTCAGTGACAGTCCCTGGATGTCAGACTCGGAACCACAAAAGAAATAAAAATAGATAATAATGTACAGTCCTAAATATACTGTCTGATACACTTAAATAAATACCTTATGTTTATTTTTTCGTGTTTGGTTGTTTTTTTCTGCATGCATGTGCACCAAATAGAGTCCAGAGTGGGCATCATATCCCTAGGAAGTTTAGTTCCAGTGAGCTGTGAGCCCCCCACATTGATGCCAGATTCCACGGTTCATTGAAAAGGAGCTAGTGCTCTCAACCACTGAGTCAGCTCTCCAGCCTATGGACATACATTAATCAATCAAGCAGTTAAGTGATTTTAGACTGTCTTATATTGAACAAGTTCCCCTTAATAGCTACAGATGATTTTAAACTCTGACTCTCCTCTTTCATTTACTTTCCATGAGTTGGAACTGCAGGTAGGCACCACCACACCCAGCTTGTACAAAGTTTTGTAAAACTCTCTTCTCTGTCTACATACTTACTATTTTTGCATGTAAGTACTCTTTACATAAGTAAATATCTTACTATTATATGTATCTACTAATTTAACTTGATGTCTGTGATCTACAAGTGTTTAAGTGTCGGGATAACATAAAATGAACAATATCAATAATAGAGGCAAAGTATCACTACAGTGGAATATGAAATCTTCTTTCGTTGCTGGAAGTACTTCATAAGTAGCCAGAAAATTATGGAATGCATCTAAGAGTGTGGTTGTCCTTGAGAAAGAGTTTTCTTTTTGAAATTATTATCCTGGGATTAGACATGTTTCTGACTCATAAGAATACCAAACTAGTTCTATTTTATTTTTTAATTAGAAAAGGGTGTTTTTAAGATACTAGAATGAAAATATAGCAATAAAAACATTTGGAAGCCATGCAGTATCCTCCTGGGATGGCCCAGAAACATTTGGCAAATGGAGCTCCTTATGGCAAGGCCCTTTGGAGAATTCTGCTGACCTGGCAAGGACCTCGTCGAAAGCACTACTGCAGACCTCTGCCCTGGTCCTAGGGAGCTCACAAGTTTCAGACCTTTCTAACTTTCACCAGGCCTATTCCTATGGCAATTCTTTGTTTGGCTTTGTCAGTTGTGATTCTGGCTGAGTTTACTGGGAACAAAAGCTGAGAATTATTCTAAAGTTTCTACAAGGAAATTAAACCTCTTTGCAATCTATCACAGAAACCAGTTCCTCAAGTTATCCCTGCTACCTTTGCAGTCAGTCATCCTGAGTAAGCAGGAGGAACTCACTAAGGTTAAGAATTCTGGCTTACTTAACTGTTCTAAAAGAGGGGGGGGCAGAGAGACAGACAGACAGACAGAACCATATCCCAAGAACTTAGGACCTGGTTTCCTAAAAGGTAACATTAAGAACTTATAGAACATATAAGGAAAAGATAAAGGTCATTGAAAGGTCAGACATCACTTTGGTGCCAGGGCTTGAAAGACAGGTCAGATATTTTTCTGATACCAAAATATCAACAAAAGAATCTAAATCTCCCATGCCCTTGGAAGTAAAAGTGAAAGTAGACACTGCCAGGAAGAATAGAAACTTTGTCCCAACAGTTAAAAGTGAGGTATTAGTCATTACCATTCCGAGACTGTATAAAGAACAGGATTATAACTGCAGCTCACATAAACCTGATATGAAGACCATGTAGAAATTGACTTACACCTGAAAAGTATTATTCTAGGTATGGGATCATACTCTCTGCTAACTATAAGAATATAAAAGCACCATATTGTTAAGGACTAACTGGAGGGTCTGAATGTCTTTCATTGTGTAATGGCATGTTTGCAGGCAGCCTGGGCAAGGTGCAAACAGGATGTGCCTGGCTAGATATAACCATTTGGCTTGGAATATAAAATTCATGCTAAGATACAGGAATAGGGTAAATTAATGATGACAAGGGACTGGGAAAGAGGAAAAGAAACTAAAATGAGTAAATGGTAATGACCTGGAAAACGATTAGAGAGAAATGATTGAAACTGCATGATTGATCTATTATAAATAAATAATATTTATAAATACATTATTAATAAGACAGCTTGAGGTATTGTGGTCCATGTGTATGAAAGACAATCAGAGGACAGACTCTTCATTTTCAACAAATTCACAGCTCAATCCTGAGACCAGAACTGGGCTAGAGCTGGACACCACAAAACAAACAAACAAATAAACAAATAACAAGAAAAACAAACAGAACAAAAACTCAGAACAAACAAAGCATAATTCAGAGCACTCACAAAATACTGTTTGAGGAGAGGGCAGATGGCTCAGAGGTAAAGAGTACTGGCAACTCTTCCAGAGGACCTGAGTTCAAATCCCAGCAACTACATTGTAATTCACAACAAAATATGGGACCCTCTTCTGATGGGGAAACATACATTCAGGCAGAACACTGTGCAGAACATAATAAATAAACTCTAAAAAATTTAAAAAGAAAAGAAACACAGACTGTTGTGGATGCTTGAGAAATAGTGGATGGAAACACTTTAGTTCATGACATTAGATTAAAATCTCCAAAACCGTGAAAAAAATTAATCAAGAATTTTGACGCTGCTGACTTCTTAATCACCACTGGCTTCTCAGCTCCAGTGGAATGCCATCAAGGATTGTCCCCGCACAGATAAGGTTTCACCTTGCTGGCTCCGGTCTCTTGTTCATAAACCACAGATGATTCTTCAGTTCCAGGCTCGACAGGACCACAACCTTCTTCATTCCAAACACCCAAAGGACCCCAAAGGAGTTCTTTCAGGGACTCTGTCTTCGTTGTCATCTGCGTTGTCATCTGCTTTGGAGTCTGGCATCCAGGGACTGTCACTGACTCATAGCAACAAAAGTAAACCTTTAAATAAGGTGAAATGAAATAGATAAACAGATATTCAAAACATGAAGGACAGACAGTTTTTAGATGACTGAGTACCTAATCAGCCAGGAGCCCTGGAACCCCAACACATCTACTCAAGTGGACACACGGATGGAATCCACATATCAGGGAGGTGAGGGAATTGAGCATCGTTCACCATGTCAGGATGGCCGAGCGGTCTAAGGCGCTGCGTTAAGGTCGCAGTCTCCCCTGGAGGCGTGGGTTCGAATCCCACTTCTGACAAGCTGTTCTCTTTTCTTGGATACATTCATTTTCTCTGTTAGGTTGGCAATTTGCTGCTTTCAGATATCTTTTCTCTTCCTGTCTAGACATAAATATCAAACTTTATATGCACTCTGACTCTCTCCACTCCCCTGCCTCTCACGCCAGTCCCTGCTCCTTTTTCTTTGGAATGCTAGGCAAGGTGTGCCATTGAGGCACATCCCAGGTCCTTTTTTACTTAGGACTTACTTCATTGTCTCAAAATGTTGTCAGCCTCAACTCTCATCCTAACCATAACTTAATATTTCTAGTTTTGCTCTTTATTGCTTCTGCATTTTCAATCAAAACAACATTACACTTCATGCTTAACTTTGTTTTGTCTTTTACATTTTTATTTCCACATTTGATACAGTGCTTGATTCCCATTATATAATTAACTTCACCTGTCATCAGTACCTAGAGAAAAACCATCTTGTGAACACACACAAAATTATGTTGGGGAGCATTAGGTGGTCGCATTGTTTCCTGTTGGGGAGAGGTCACTGTGAAAATGGAGTAACAGGGTCTGAGCACTGGAACCACAGGGGCAGCCAGGCCATTGCAAGTGCTTTCTGTAGTCAGAGGACTTAGTACACACGAACTTCAAAAACAACCTGACATACAGGCACAAACACAGACAACTCAACCTGAATTCCTTCTGTGCCATCCCGAAGCCCATGCTGGCAGATCAGAGCACTGCTCCATGGTTTTCTGAGACCTGGGCTAGTCAAGGGTGATTATAGGCAGGCTTGTGTGCTGGGCATAATTGCCATCCCGACAGACTGACCGGCTCCAGAAGGCGGTGGCTTCCACAAAGGAAAGCCTTCACCCATCTGGCACCGGACCCATCCACAGCACACTGGCCAGGGAAAGGTCCTGTCTAACCACAGGCAACTGGCTGGCCTCTGCTGCCTCTTAAGTCCCTGACCTGCCTGCTCTCTGTCTTCAACAGAGGCCAGTGGAAGTGGTTGGGACTCCCCCAGCTTTTCAGTAAAGAGAGTGCAGAAACAGAACCAAGTGGGGCTCCTCACTCGACTTTGGTCTGCAATCAGAGCTGAAACTAGGTTGCATATCAAGAGCAGGAGAGACCGGATGTTGGGACTAGGACAGGCAGTTGTTACCCTGGCAATGATGACGGCCACTCCTGAGGCTGCTACTCCTGCTGCTTCTTCTTTTTCCTCTTCTTCTTCCTCTTCTTTTTCCTCTCCTTCTCCTTCTTCACCTTCTCCTCCTTCTTCTTTTTCTTCTTCTCTTCTACTAATTCTCCTTCTTTCTCTTCTACTGCTACTACAATTACTACGATTATGTCTCCCTTTCCTCTCCCTCCTCTTCCTTCTCCTCCTCCTAATACTTCTTCTTTCTTCTTCTTCTTCTTCTTCTTCTTCTTCTTCTTCTTCTTCTTCTTCTTCTTCTTCTTCTTCTTCTTCTTCTTCTT